TTAACATGTTGAATTTTGAATATATTAGTACTGTTCAAAAACATGAATTTTACAGTATGAATCAAGCCAGCAATAAGACATATAATTCACAGAAGTTTACAGAATTGCCTTTTCAAAGAGAATACTATTTTATTGTGTAAATATACACCATATTTTCCCTTCCATTCATCCATTGGTGGACCCCTAAGTTTGTCTTGAAGTAAGGAAGTAGCCGGTACTCTTACATTCATTTTTCTTCTTCAATATTGAATGATTTTTTTTTAGTCTTATATTGTTCAGTCAATCACCTTTTTGATATCTACAAGATGATTTTCTGGGAGTTTGATTTGGATTGTGTTTAAAGTACACATTAATTTGGGATAAACTGATGTTTAGATGATACTGAATCTAAATCTCTTCAAGGTTACTAAAATTAAATAAAAATCTCTTCAAGGTTATTAAACATTTCCCTTTTTGTTTTGTAATTTCTTTCATCAGTTTTTATAGATATTTTAAACCTATTTTTGAAATTTTCCATTTAGGGTTTTCTATTAAATAATGTTGGATTAAGTTCAAATTCCACTTTTTCATTGATATATACATAGTTGATCTTATTTTAGTAACTTGTAAGCTTACTTTAAAGGCTTTTTAGTTAATGGTTTGTTAGGGTTTTTTGTTTGCTATATAAAACATTTTGTCAAAAGCATTATTTTCTCACTTCCAAACTCATATATTGCTCTTGCCCCTTTACTTTCTTACTATAATGCATAGCACTCCCAGGATGATACATGATTTTTTTTTCTGAACTTCATATTGAAACTTCAAATGTGCTAACATTAAACATACTGTTACCTGTGGGGTATTTTGGACTTCATTTATTGAATGGAAGAAGTTGTCTTCTGTACCCTTGTTGTTAATAGTTGAGTTATAAGTAGGTGTTAGGAGTTTATCAAATGTTTTTCAGGCATTTCTTGATAGAAACATGTAATTTTCACTCATGGTTGTTAATAGGATAGATTCCATTAATTGACTTCTGACAGATGAATCAGCATTGGTTACTTGAGAAAAATCTTGTTTGGTCAAAATGTAATGATCTTTTAACACTTTTTAAAGCGATTTCCTTACACCTTGTTATTTTCTTTTTTTTTTTAAATGTGTGTGTGTGTGTGTGTGTGTGTGTGTGTGTGTGTAGGTTAGAGAACAACTCTATTTCAAAAGTTGGTTCTCTCCTCCACCATGTATGTTCCAGGGATCCAACCCATGTCACCAGCCTTGTGTGTAAGTGTTTTTACCCCCTCATCCATCTTGTAATTTTCAGTTTATTCTTTTTTTTTCTTTTGTAATATCATGTCTGCTTTTGGTATTAGTGATAGCCTCAAGCAGTAGCTGTAAAATTAGTTAAGAGCTATTCCCTCTTTGTTAATTTTGAAGGAGGCTTGTTTGTTAGCTGATCTATTTATTTTTTGTAGAAGACATAAATGGATCTATTTGAGTGTGAAACTTTTGGTATTTTGCATTTTGGTTAAGCATTTTTTTTGTTATTTTTATTTTTTTCTCTTGTTTGTGCTGTGGCAAACTATTTCAATTGTTTGGCCTATTTTTTTTATCAGAGTTACCATATTCATATACATAATTTTACATAGGATTTTAAAATTATCCATTTAAAGTTACTTTCATCTATACTGATGTCCATTAATTTCTTTTTCATGAGTCCATTTTTATCTACTTTTAATCTTAATGAGCATAGCAAGAGGTATGTTAATTTTCATGATTTTTGTGAAGAATGAGTTTTCTGTTTTCATTGTGTTTTTCTTGGATTCTTATTTGAAGTTCGGTCATTTCTATTTTGTCATTTACTTTCTTCTTTTCGTTTTTTATTTACTTATTTATTTATTTATTTATTTATTTATTTATTTATTTATTTATTTATTTATTTATTTATTTATTGGCAGGGTCTTAACTTTATAGCCCTGGCAAGCTGAGAACTTAACTACATAAATCAAGCTGGCCTCAAACTTGTGGCAGCACTGCTGCATTTGTCTTCCAAATGTTGAGATTACAGATGCATACCAACTTACCTTGGTCCTTTGTCTTTTTTTCTAAGGCAGAAATACAGAGACTTTTTTGGATTTTTCTCTTAACTAATGTGTGCATGTAATGCTATAACTTTCCTTTAAAACACTAATATCATCATGTTATCCCACAAAGTTTAATATTATATTTTATATTCAGTTAAAATATTTCTTATTTTTTATTTTAGGATGTTACACCTTCTGTTATCAACTACTAGTTTAATTTCATTATCATCTGAGAACAAATACTAAAAGATTTTAAGTATTTTAAATGTACTAATGTAAACTCTGTGATCCATAATTTGGTATATCATGGTAGACATTTTATGTAAGCTTGTGAACAATACATATTTTGGGACTACAATATAAAACAATCTACAGATGTGTATTACAATCAGGTGATTGATGATATTCTTGAGTTCAATAATTTTTTTCTGATATTCTGTTTAATGGATCTCATAGTTTCTGATGCCATGGTATTAGTGTCCAAATATAATAGTATCTTCAACTCCCTAGATTTCTATATGTTTGCTCAGATCACTTTATATGTTGTTTTTTGGTACAATCCTCAACAAAACTATGCCTTTTATGTAATATGCCTCATTTTTCTAGCTCTGAAGTCAACTATCTGAAATTAAGTTAGCCAGTTTTTATCTCATTTACTAGATATTAGTATGACTTGTTTTTATTTTTTATGGACATTTAATCTGTATGTTCATTTATATTTAAAGTTTGGTTTACTTTTTGTTATTTAAATCTGTTCTTTGAAATTTTCATGCAAAAGTGAATTGTATTCTAGTTACGATCATCTCCCAGTCCTGTAAAACCCCTCATCCTTACAAATCCCTTTCTCAATTCATAGCTTTTTGTTTTGTTTTGTGACCCATCTTTATTTAACCAAGGCTATCTTTGTAACAATGGATTTTGTTGAATATTTGTTTTGGGTCCATTGTAACTCATGTAAGTAAATAACTTCTGCAGGATTCCTCAGAATATGTTCTCTTGCTTTATTATTTATTTGATCATCATAAACTTATTGAGCTATACTCCTATGATTATATCATAATCTTTGATTCCACAATGCTATAAAATTGCTTATATATTATTTTTTTTGTAAACTGTGACATATTATAGCTTCTGATATTCTGCCATGTGTTATACTAAGTATTTTGGCATGACTACTTAAGGCTGGGTATATTTCTCATAATGAGCAAAATTTATGAGTTTATGATGACTTTCAAATGACAATAACATTATGTACGAACTGCTGCTGCTTTTGTTTTTTATTATTAGATTTTTAATTAGCAAAAAATGACAAATTTTACTGTTATTTCACAAAAGTAAATAATAGTACTTTTGCTCACATTCCTATCTGTTACTCTCTCATTTCATCTCTGTCCCATCATAATGAATTTACTCTTCAGAAATAGTCCCCTCTGTTATTATGTGATTATTATTATTGTAATAATATTACTATTATAATATGTATAATTATAATTATTATACCTTATTATTATTGTTGTTATTACTATTACTATTATTATGTATTTGATAAGATGACATGGGGATATGTGATACTGTCTTTACCATTACCCATTTCTTTTCCCTGTTTGGAATTCCTTATGGTACCTTCTGCAATACTGGCTTGGTAGTCATGAATTGCTTTATTTGTGCTTGACTTGGAAGGCCTTTCATTTCTCCAGCTTAAAAGATTATTTTGGGAGAAATTATGCATATAGCTTCTGACATTACTAGGAGATACAGTTTCACAGAAAAAAAATCTGCCTAAACATGAGCTGAACATATAGAGCAACAATACATATGCCAAAGTAGATGGAGAAAAACCCATGAGACCTCATCCATACACAAAGAACTACAGGCAATTGAGTATAGTGGGGAGCAGGAGAGGTGGCCCTCCTCAGGGAAAAGCTTACTAACAGGTTGTCCAATACCAAATGATCAGTCCTGAAAAAATACATACAAGTGACACTATACAGACTGAACATGATATATTTAGATGTGTGCATGCATATAATATCAATTAATAAAGGAAGAGGCCATTAATTTGAGAGAGTACAAGGAGGTATATATGAAAAGGTTTGGATGGCCAAAACAGAAGAGAGAAATGGTGTAACTGTATTATAATCTCAAAAAGAAAAGAAAAGCAGATAAACCTATATATGTAGAAATTTTGATTGCTGATTTTCTAGTTTTAGTACTTGAATATGTAACTCCATAATTTTTTGAATTTTAGAATTTTTGCTGATAGTATTCTGATGAATTTACCTTTATATGTAAATTTATTGACAGTTTTCTCTTGAAGTCTTAACACTGTTTCTTTGTTCTATACTCCTGGCATTTTACTTATAATGCGTTGTGGTGGTATTCCATAGTCCTTTTCCTAGAGACTCCAATAGTTTTCTGTGATTACATGTCAATTTCTTCCATAAAAGATGAAATTTTCTGCTAGAATCTTTATAAGTAGACTTTTTATGCTTTAATTTTTATGCTGTCACTTTAACCTATTGGTTCTTAGGTTGGTAACTTGATTACACATAAATGTTTTGAGATTTTTTTTTATCATTTTTTCTATTTTTTTTCTTTGTTGATGTATAATTGTATCTCCTGAATCTTGTCTTCCATTTGATAAGTTTTTCTTTTGCTTGATATTTTAATGGTTCTTTGCACTATAATTCTGTTGAACTTAGTGTTTCTTAATTATTTTTTACACAATCCTTGCTGAATCATCTATGTTGCTGACTATATTATTCTCATGAATTAGCTTCCTATTTCATTCATCTGATTGTTTGTATACTCCTTAATTTTTTTTTTAGTTCTACTTACTATATTTGAAAGACTAATTTTTAAAAAATTAATAAAAATGACAATTGCCCTGTCAAGATTACATGACATATATAGTAAAGCAAAGCTCTGGGAGGGAGGATGGATGCGAGCTTGCTTCTAAGATGTGCTCAACCCCCTGGGTGTGGCTGGCAGAGGTCGCGGGGCACGGGTGGTCTGCTTCCCCATGCCCGGGTCCTCCTGCCCCTTCGCCTTTCCTTTGTAGATGTCCTTGGGTTTAGTGTTGGGATCACAGAGTGGAATTCTTCCATCGAGAGCTTCTGGAGGTGACAGGCAGGGGGAGGGAGAGGGGACAGGGATGGGACGTTAGTCCTCTTCATCCTCGCTGATGTCACAGGTCACAGCCTTGTGCCTAGAGAGACTTGCTGGGGAGGAAGTTGGGGAAGTCTTGCCAGAGAAGGGCCATGGGAAGGAGGGGGATGGGAAGCGTTCGTGAGTGGGGCTGCTGCTGGGACTCTGCTTGGGACTGATGGCCTGCAGCATCTGGCCTTTCCCCTCCTTCAGCATGTGTTTCAGCGCCCCTTCTGGACCAAACATTTCCAGGAAACTGCCGATAAATTCTCGGGATTTCTCCTCCCACTTCTGGATGAGGTCAATGCTCTTTTCTTCCACCTTCTGCACAAATTCTTTGGATTTTTCTTCCACATCTTTCACTTTCTTCTTGACTTTATCAACCCATTCTTGCAAGTGGTATTTCTTCTCGTTGATGAAGCTGACATTGAGCTCCTTGGCAGTGTAGCCCCTCTGGAGGTTCCTTCTTGCATATACATCATAGTCACGGACAATGCGGGTGATGATATCTGATGTGGCGATACCTTCTGTCCTCTGTGTCGGAGCAAACATGCCTGCTTCCTTAATGTGCTTATACACGTCATCACTCCCCGCAGAAGAATAGGGGATATCGTCATGGGCTACGAAATCAATCTCACCAATTCCTCAGCTGATCCTGTTTCCTCAGACTGGAGGCCTCTGAGTCCTCATCCAAATGGATCTGAGCTGAACTGCTGCTAAAAGCCTAAAAGCTCAACCCATACTCCTTAATTTTAATGATAATTTTTAGTAGTAGACTTGAATTTTTGCCTGACATTTCAGTCATTTATATTAAACAAATAAGGAGTTATTATATTCCAAGAAGTGCTATATTGCTTTGATTTTTGTCATGCATTTTATGGTTCTTTGTTATAACCTGTACATATTTTGGATGGGGATATTTCTGTTTTATCTTAGTATCTTAATGAGCATCCTTCTCTTATAGTACTAATCATGATGACTACTCAGAAAGAAGGGGGAAATGTGCCTTAACAGCTGAAGTATCAGTACAAAGCAATCCTAGAATTATACATAAATCATTTAAATCCAACCAATGACCATAGAACAGAATATTACAGAAATCATGTACAGAAAACTAAGGAGTTAAAATTTTTTAAGGTAAAAATAAAAATGATGGAACAAAATGAAATTGGCAGATAAAGTCTCAAAAGAAAGAAGCAAGGTTAAAGAAAGTAAAGTTAAAAAGAAAGAAGATAAGTATTAGGAATACTGAGAGGAAATGTAAAGGATCAAAATTTTTGTATATGCTGTCACAGTTACTGAGTTCATATGTGCATCAGTCATGTTAGATGGGACTGTTTCCTTGGAGTCACCCATGATCTCTGACTCTTTCTGCTTCATGTTCCACATAGATCCCTGAGCCTTGAGGGGAGGATATTGATAAATGTACTGGATGGTTTTGTGTCAACTTGACTTAACCTAGAGTCATCAGAAAGAAGGGAGCCTTAAGGAAATTCCTCCATGAGTTCCAGTTGTTAAGGCATTGTCTGAATTAGTGATCAATGGGGGAGGGCTCAGCCCATTGTTGTGCTGGTTCTTGTGCTGGTGCTCCTGGGTTCTATAAAAAAGCAGGCTGAGCAAGCCAGAGGAAGCAAGCCAGTAAGCAGCTCCCCTCCATGGAGAGCTCTGCATCAGCTCCTGCCTCCAGCATTCTGCCCTGTTTGAATTCCTGTTCTGATTTCCTTCAATGATGAACATCAATGTCTTTGTTGTGTCTATGTGTCTGTTATGCCTTTGAATCTCTGCCTGCCCCTAACAAAGGGCTTTGCTCTATATTATTGAACACCACAAAAAAACATGGCATCGGGAAGTAGTGAGTTATACTTTAGAGAAATCTTTTAACAGTTTTACAAGGAAAAAGTCATTTTATTGACCCCAGCTGATGCAAAAGCACTCTACGGAAAACAGACGTTGTCAAGCAATATCCACATGTTATTTTCACCATTTGTGGTAGGTATGTGTTGTATAAGGTTACTTTCACCCTGATGACTACTTTTAGCAAATGATTACCACAACATACACAAACATTCCTTGAGTCATGGGCATGGAAGAATATATAACTTAAGAATATTCGTGGTTATAAAAATTGATTGTATGGGAAATTCAAGACATCTTAAACAGCCTGAATACGGAGTAAGACAGCAGGTTAAGTATAATCTTAAATTATTTCAACACATATTATTAACTTTAATGTGTGGTGTGCCAAACGTTCAGTCTTTCTGGAGTCAAAACATATTTATACAAAAGTGTCACTACATAATGTCTCATTAAAAATGTTTATTTGAATTAATTCATTTAGATATTATAAAAATGAATTTATTACATGCTAGCATAAATAATTTCTAAAAACACAAAATGAATAAGTTTATTAGTTTTATAAATTTCAGATACCTTTAATTCTCATTTAATGGGAGATGCTGAACATGCATGTTTGCTCGTGTATCACATTTGTAACCTACTCATGAAAAATGCAAGTGAAATAACCTCTAATGTATGATATTATAATAATTAGTAGTATTATGTAAATAATTTTGACCTCACAAATCCTTGAAAAGTTCTTGAGGACAGCTAGGATTTTCCAACACACCCTTTAAATATCTGTTCCATGGTCACCATGAAAATAATGATAAAGATGTTCTAGGAGAAATACCTAGTAGAAATTGAATAATCTAAGGATTTAGTAAGCACATTCATGGAAAATGAACAAACAAATAATATATGTAAAAAGAGAAAATTCTCTAAATGATATAAATGAGAAAATTACATTTAATTTAAATATCTTAATACTTAATTTAAAAGAAAAGACTTTACAGCTGGATGAAAATGAATCTAAATGACTTCAATAGTTACAATTCAAATATAAGAATGCTGAAATATTAAATCCAAGAAAGTGGGAAAGATTGTATAGTGTAAACTTAATTTATGTGTTCAGCAACCTAAATGCTTCCTATAAATATGATGAGTAAGCCAGAGGAAAAAAAGGAATATATATATATATATATGTGTGTGTGTGTATAATATGATTTCATTTACATGAAATACCAAACAGAAAAACAATTATGAGATAATTCAGAGAACTGGTTATTACTCAGACTATAGTCTGGGGAGGAGCATGAGGGACTTTCTGCAATGCTACAAATATTCTTTGTTATAATTGTGCAGGCATATACATGTGTAAAATATCATTAAGATATATATATATATATATATATATATATATATATATATCAGGAGTACACTTATTTATTTTAAAATTAAGTAAAAAATTTTAAAAGATTTATGATTAGAAGAAAAATGAAAATGTTTATCTTTGTAAATATTGCCAGTTGAAGAGCACAATTACAGAAAATTTGGAAAAGAAAGTTATTTCAGTATAAAGATTTTAAGGTCATTGTCATATTGGAAAATGAAATGTGTATTGATTAAATATGTTTCAGTCTACTATGAATGTTAAAATTTTTATTCTAAAGATAGCATTAAGAGAATATATGATGTCTGGTGTGTAGGGGACATAAGGAAAATGTTAATCAAAATAATTCAAAGAAATGGGTCTAAGAAATCTATTTTTCATGACACATAGGATGTCAGATTCAGTCAGACTATGGGAATCACTATAAATGTGAATGGAAAATATGCATTCTGTTAAAAGATGGAGACTTACAGATTGTTCCTTAGATTCAGAAGAATACATTTCTTTAAGAAATGAAAGAATTAGTGGAAATAAGGTTCTATTGATATTTATTCTGTTCCATTAAATAAATAAGTTTTACATCAACAATAAACAATAATTTACTTTTTCTTTTTTTGTAGGCTGATCTTAGCCATGAAAATGAGTCTGATATAATAGACGTGGTAAGTGCCCTTTTCAACTTTTTTAAAAGAAAATATTTCTCATTACTCTATTGTTCATCATACTAGTGCAGTAAATAACTTTACTTCATTTACTGCTCTATATAATTATTTATATATGATGAATATTTAAAGTATATTATAGTTTAATTTTTGACATACAAATGTAATTGGATAATAATAATTTTAATTAGAAAATAGTCTAGGATTAAGAGCAAAACTAAAACTATAGTGAAGGTGGAATACTAAAATGTCTTCTCAATGCATTCTGAAACTGAAACTAATTTCTTTATTGATATTTCTGTCTGTTCCTTAATAACTTTCTTTTGTGAAGCTGTCTTTGTCAAAGACTGTAACCATTTTTATAGAGTTTTGTTGTCACCTAGGTAAGCAACTATTAATATGTTATGTGAAAATTATTTATAGCAAATATTTTCATGGTGGCATTCATCTTCATAAAAGTTTCACTGTTAGGGAAATAAATAAAATTTTATCCCATATTCGTTTAAATAAGTACAGTCATTTTGTTTAGAAAAATACTTTTTTTAGTTTACAATTTACAGACTACTTGAGATGTATGTGTGTTTGAAACAAATAGAAAATTCGATTTTTCTCTTTTCTAAATCAAGCTAGTATTAATTTCAAGGAAGTGTAAGAGGCTCAAAAACTTATAATTTTCCCCCATTGCTTAGCAGTTGTTTTGGGCCAATAGAAATCACCAAATAGCAGTTTCATTCCTAATATAGTATCCAGTATAGAAATAGGCCAAATAGTCTTTAATTTTTTTTTTTGCTATTTGCTGATATTGGAAAGTAATTTGGCTTTAAGACTTATTTCTTGTGTAAGTCAAAATGTCCCAGTAAGATATTAAAATGTTAAATATCATGTTTTCCTGTCAAGAGTAAAAAAGTTTTAGGTCCTTCTTAAAGATAGACTTTGTAAAGTGCAAGATTAAATGAGACATAAGGAATGGAGATTATAAAGTAGAAGACAAAAGGTAAGGAGAAAGGAGACAACTTGCCATTTTTCTTAGGGGTAACTATGCATTCAATTTCAGTAAGAAATGAGGATCCTATAATAGGATACCTGAAAATAGCTCACCCTTCAGTCATTGATTTGTCACTCCCATAATTTCCATACCATCTTTATCCCAACTTATCATGTAGGCAAGGCAAATTGAAGGTCAAAGTTTATGTGGTTGAGTTGGGGTCCCAATCCCTCTTCTGGAAGTCTTGCCTGGTTACAGGAGACAGCTGGTTCATGCTCCATGTCTTCCCTTTTTAGGAGTCTTGGATAGTGTAACTCCCATAGATTCCTGGGAATTTCTATTGCACTAGGTTTCTACCTCATCCCAGAGATGGCCCCTGATTCCAGTTGTCTTTTGCAGTACTCTCTCCTTCTGTCTTCCCCCCACCTGATCCCTCCTGTTCCCTTGCCCTTCTCGACCACTCCCCCATTCAGCTGTAATGTCTATTCTATTTCTCCTTCACAGTGAGATTCACATGTACCCCTTTGGGCCCTCCTTGTTACCTAACCTCTCTGGGTTTGTGGATTGTAGTATGATTATCCTTTATTTTATAGCTAACATCCACCTCTAACTGGGTACATATGTTTGTCTTTCTGGGTCCGGGTTACCTCACTGAGGATGATCTTTTCTAGTACCATACATTGGGCAGAAAATTTCATGATGTCATTTTTTAACAGTGGAGTAATACTCCATTGTGAAAATGTACCACATTTTCTTTATCTGTTCTTTGTTTGAGGGACATCCAGGTTGTTTCCAGTTTCTGGATATTACAAATAAAGCTATTATGAACATGTTTGGGCAAGTGTCCCCATGATATGGTCGAACATTCTTTGGGTATATGCCCAGCAGTGGTATATCTGGGTCTTGAGGTAGACCAATTCCTACTTTTCTGAGAAACCACCAAATTGATTTCCAAAGTCACTGAACAAGTGTGCACTCCCACCAGCAAGAGAGGAGTCTTGCACCATATCCTCTCCAGCATGAGCTTTCACTTGTGTTTTTTATCTTAGCCATTTTGATAGGTATAAGTTAGAATCTCAGAGTAATTTTGATTTGCATTTCCCTGATAACTAAGGATGTTGAACATTTTTTAAACGCTTTTAGGCCATTTGAGATTCCTGTCTTGAGTATTCTCTCTCTTTATCTGTACCCCCATTTTTAATTGGATTATTTCATTTTTTTAGTCTAGCATACTGAATTCTTCCTATATTTTGGAAATTGTCCCTCTGTCAGATGTGGAGATAGTGAAGATCTTTTCTCATTCTGTAGACTACTGTTTTGTCTTTTTGACCATGTCCTTTGCCTGATAGAAGCTTTTCAGTTTCTGGAGGTCCCATTTATTAATTGTTAATCTTAGTGCCTTGCTATTGGTGTTCTGTTCAGGAATTTGTCTTCTGTGCTAATGCTTTCAAGGATATTCCCCACTTTCTCTTCTATCAGGTTCAGTGTATCTGGTTTCATGTTGAGGTCTTGTGCAATGTAAAAAATATGGAGCTATTAGCATTCTTTTACATGCTGACATCCAATTAAACTGGCACCATTTATTGAATATGCTTTCATTTTTGCATTGTATATTTCTGTCTTCTTTTTAAAAATCAGGTGTCCCTAGGTGTGTGGATTTAGATCTGAGTCTTCGATTCAATTCCATTAAGCAATCTGTTTTTATGCCATTAGCATATGGTTTTTATTACTGTTTCTCTGTAGTAGAGCTTGAAATCAGGGATGGTGATACCTCTGGAATTTCTTTTATTGTACAGGATTGTTTTTGCTATCCTGAGTTTTTTGTTTTTCCATATAAAGCTGAGTGTTGTGGTTTCAACACTGCCAAATTCATTTTATGAGACTACAGTTACCCTGATACCCAAACCACACAAAAGACCAAACAAATAAATGGAATTACAGACAAATTTCCCTCATGAACATTGATCTAAAAATATTCAACAAAATACTTGCAAATCACATCCAAGAAGACATAACAAAGATCATTCACCATGATTAAGTAGGCTTCATTCCAGAGATGCAGGGACGGTTTAACATATGAGAAACTGTCAATGTAATCCACCATATAAACAATCTGAAAAAAATCACATGATCATCTCATTAGATTCTGAAAAAGCCTTTGACAAAAACCAACACCCCTTCAGGATAAAAGTCTTGGAGATATGAGGGATATACAAGGGACATATCAAAACATAACAAAGGCAGTTTACAGTAAGCCTGTAGCCAATATCAAATTAAATGGAAAGAAACTCAAAGCAATTCCACTAAAATCAGGAACAAGACAATGCTTTCCACTCTCTATATCTATTCAATATAGTATCTGAAGTTTTAGCTAGAGCAATAAGACACCTAAGAAAGATACAAATTGGAATTGTATCAAAGGGATACAAATTGGAAAGGAAGAAGTCAAAGTACCACTATTCACAGATGATATGATAGTATGCATAAACGACCCCAAAAATTTTACCAGGGAACTCCTTCAGCTGATAAATACCTTCAATGAAGTGGCTAAAATAAACTAAAAAAAAATCAGTGTCCCTCCTATATACAGACAATAAATAGGCTGAAAAAGAAATTTGGGAAACAACACCCTTTACACTAGTCACAAATAATATGAAATATCTTGCTCTAACCAAGAAAGACCTGTTTGCCAATAACTGCAAGTCTTTCAATAAAGCAATTGAAGAAGATATCAGAAACTGGTAAATCTCCCATGCCCATATATGGGTAGGATTAATGTAGTAAAACTGGCCATCTTGCCAAAAGAAATGTACAGATTCAATGCAATTTGCAACTCTATTTTTAAGATAAGCATCATAGCAAGTTGCAGAAATCAGTTTAATTAACTCCCACACTTGAGCATGTTTAATGGAACATCAGAACTAATTTTGGTTGGTTTTTTTATTTAATTTACAAAAAAGTGCACAAATTTTAAATATTTATTATATGAATTTCTTCACATTTTACTAAAATTATCATGATGATTTTAAACATTACTCTTCTTATTGGTCAATTGGGGTTCCCTTTGGTGGGTTTCTAGTCTCATTGATAAATTTAAAAAATGAACCTGGAATGTTGATCAAGGAAAATAATTTAGGGTTTTAGGGAAAAACAAGGACAAGAAATCTGTAAATCATGGCACCTACCTGAAGTTGAAAGATGGATAAGGAGAAGGGAAAAAAGTCTTTCCCTTTGTGTTTGCAGTGGAATTCTGCAGGCAGTTGTAGAAAGGTTGAATGAATATCTTCAGTGAAAATAGTGAGAAATCCTAGAGTTTTGGTAAAATCATGTTTAGGATATTGGTTGGTGTCGAAAGAGAAGATACAAAGGTGAAAAGGAAAAGTTGTGCTTTTGGAGCTCAGAAAAGCTGGATCAGCAACCAACAGTCCTGGACGAGTCTTTGGAGATAAATGAGAACAATATCTCATTAAGGGAATGAGTATATTATTTCATTAAGAGCTAGTATGTCTTCAGGTGATTCTGCTATCCTGAGGGTTGGGAAACACTTTCTGCTCAGGTTTTTAACAAGCCTATTTGGAGTAACACTTTGGAGATAATCAGAATGTCCTGTCTCTGCTGTTAAATCCAAACCAACTCTTTCTCTTTTACAGAAGGAAGTAATCATTCTCCAGTTGGCCTTTAAAAAGTCCCAACACCTACCATGTGACCATGGAACCCCAAATTTCATTTTCAAATGAGAACAATTTCTAGATTTTTAAAATAGCAGCAGAACACAGACAGTCACATTAAAAAAAAAAGACACTTTTTGAATACATTGGTAGAATCATTAGGTAGGCAGTTCATAACAAGGCAAGTAAATCTCTCCTATAGACCTTCAAGTAAATCTCTCCTATAGACCTTAAGTGCCATTTCATAACATTGTTAGATTTTAGGTAAGTGGAAGATGTATGTCTGTTCACAGATTCCAAATAATTTACCTAATTATAACCATCAAGGTTTCAATGAGTCTGCCTTT